TATTGATTTCACTGGTCACTATTAATACATTTCTAGATTATATTTATGATTGTCTAGAATGTAAAAATTTTTTCATCTATGCGAATACAATAATCAATTTAACATACTATGTAGATAGGCATTCGATGTTTTAAATCTTTAGTTTTTTTTTTTTTTTGATAATCTTATTTGCGAGCAAAGCATATGATTGACATGTAATTTAAGCTTTGAATCTGACTGAAGAGAACATTACTTATTCTGTTCATGACTGGTTTTTATCATTTCTCGATTCTTTTGTGTGGATCTTAATTAATAACACAGGTGAGACGACATAGAAAATTAAAAAACCATATCTTAATATCGAGTTTTTCTTTATTAGATAAGCTTCACATGTCTTATTCACGTTTTATGAAAAAGTGCATTGCTGCTTGCTTAATTTACTTTTCCTTTTCTCTCTATATTACGTATCTTCTTTCTTTTTTTTTTCTATTACATCTTTCTCATCGTATTTTCTATTTTCTACTGCATTCTTAAGTAGTCTCTTATTTTCTACTATCAAAAAAGAAAACTAAAGTTTTATATCACTTCAAATTTACGGCAATTAAGAAAATTCCAAGTCAAATAAATTTGTAAGTCATGAAGTGAAAATAATTGAAAACATTTATATCATCATAGTAAATGATTTTTAAAAAAATACAAGATTTTTCTTTGATAATCCATAAATTGCAATTCTATGCTTAATGTGTAATTATAGAAAAAAAAAGCTATATTCTTTCTAGAATTTGACTTTCATTAATAGAGCGATAAATCATTTTTTAAGTGATTCTTCGATATTGCCTCTTTCCTGATCGAAAATTTTAGATTTTTCATTTTTGTGTTTTGCTATTTAATATATGTTTTGAAGTATCTTCTATCTACTGAATATATTTCAAGAATTAAACATAGGAAAACTGAAAGACATGCAAGATTTTTGTTAAAATTCATCAAAGTTTACATATTATTACATTACTGTAAGCGTTTAAAATGAATGCATACATTTTTTCTTATATTTTGATGTCATTCTTATGTACGTAATTTAATTTCAAGTTATAATACATGATAGAAAGAATAGGAAAAACATTAATACTTTATATAAAATGCGTAAATATTTAATACTATTAAATATCATTCTCATAGAAAATAGACATGACAGTTTTTATCAGGAATATGAGATTTTTTTAATCTCCTGTTGTAGGTATTTGGATAAGTAAGACGTTCTTACAATCTCAAATAAGACAAAAAGTTGCAATTATTTATAGGTTTTGATAAAAGAAAACAAACAAGATTGTTTACTCTAGAAAATAGGGTTATTAATAATTACAACATATCCATATTTAGATATATCACCGCTGGCTGCTGATTTTTTTGAAACCGTTCCAATTCGTTTTAGCTTTGACGATTAGTCTCTTTTTTTTTTAATATTCGGTACCTCTTTTGAACGAGCATCGAAAAATCCCAAAAATCAGAATTATCCGATACAATTAGAGCGATATCAAAAAACTAATCAGATATGCTGCGAAGATTGTATATTTAACCAGAATAAATCTTCTTAAGCAATAAATCAGTTTTTTATTATATTGAACTTTCTTTTTTAATCTTTCAACAGCTGACTTTATGTTAATTTATATTTGTTTATCAAACTATAAATCTATCAAATATTTGTACACATTATTAATGTAGATTTTAACTTTTCACGTCAACAAAATTATTGCAAATAAAATAAAATATTAAACATATATATATATATATATATATATATTCTAATATTAATAAATCATATTATTATTTTTCATACTTAGATTACAAAATGCCAGTTACAGAAGAACAAAAACAAATTCTTAAAACAACATCACCAATTTTTAAAGAAAATGGAAAAGAAATTACATCAATACTTTATAAACATATGTTTGCAGATCATCCAGAATTATTAAATATATTTAATCGAACAAATCAAAAAAATGGTACACAACCATTTGCATTGGCAAATACAATGTATCTTGCTATTGAAAATATTGATCATTTAGATGTACTCTTACCTCAATTTCTACTTATTTCTCATAAACATCGTGCTTCAACAGTTCAACCAGAACATTATCCAATTCTTGGCAAATATTTACTTATAGCAATCGATGAATTCTTAGGTGGTATGGGAGATCCAGATATTTTAGGCGCATGGTCAGCTGCCTACAATATGATTGTAACTATTTTTATCAATATAGAAAAACGATTATACAATGAACTTGGTGATAAAAGTGAACAGGGTTTTATTCCATTTACAATTACAAAAAAAGAAATAATCGCAAGTGGACCAATTGTTGCTTTTACAATGGAACGTCGTGATGGTGGGAAAATGCGTGATTATCATCCTGGACAATATATAACAATTCGTATTAAAAAAGATGGTCTTTATCATATTCGATATTATAGTTTGATTGAACTATTTAATGGTAAAACATATCGTATTGCAATTAAACAAGAAAAAAATAATGAATCAAAAGGAGTTGTTTCTACTGAACTTATTGAAAAATATAAAGAAGGTGATACATTATCAGTAAGTTTACCAGCTGGTACTTATACTTTAATACCAGATGCAAAACATCATTTATTTATTGCTAGTGGTATTGGTATTTCTGTTTTTTCATCCATGATATTAGATTTACATAAACAAGGTAAATCAGATATTGTAACATTAATTCATTGTGTATCAACAGAAGATCAAGCTGTTTTTGCTGATCAAATGCATAAAATTTTGACAAAAAATCAATATTATATACTTCTTCAAGGTAAACATCTTTTACAAGTAACAATTACGAAAACAGTAACGCCTAAGACACATGTTTATCTATGTGGTTCCGTTACATTTATGGATAAGGTCGAGGATTATTTAGGTCAATGTGGACATCCATTTTCTCAAGTTCATAAAGAAGCTTTTCAACCATCACTGAGCTTGATAAAAGATGCTGTCAAGAATCAATCGACCACAAAACCATTATAGACATTATTTTTAATCTTTTTGTTTTTAAAGATTATATTTATAAATATGTGTAATATTATTTAGAAGTCATTCATATTCTAGTAGATCTATTATACATTTAACATTATTCTTTTTTTTCTTTATTAACATATAAAAAAATATCTTCGTATTGTATATATTCATAATTCTTGAAAATAAAAACAACATTTGACTAAGGAAAAAAGAACCTCTGAAATAATGTCTTATTTTTTTTTCATTTTTGACAACATTGTTATGAGGAAAATATCGAATACAAATTAAAAATGTGAAACATACATAAGGTAAGTTATTGTAAAAATGCTCTAATGAAGAAATCAAAAATTTACTTTTTCTTGAAAATAATAATTTCTTATTATTTAAATATTCAACGAACATTTTCATCTTCGATAGATAAAATACAATTTTTAAACTATTCGATCAATAATGATGAATGTGTTTTGTATTATGGAATTTTATAGTTTTATGAAAAATTAATTCTAGAATTGCTCGAATCAATATTAAAATGATATACGTCCGGACGCGTCACAAAGTAAACTAATTATATTTACATTTACACACATAGAAATTTGTACATGTACACGTTTTATATTTTCACATGCAAGAAAATACTAGAATGCTTACAAAAACAAAACACATATGGAAAGCATGTATTTAAACATGAAATCAATAATCACACATAGGATAGAAAACTAAACTCTTGCATGTAGTAGCATACACACTATAACGTAGAAAAAAACTTGCATGTTGACATAAAATTATTTTAGTAAAAGCTTTCGTAAATACAACGGTTTTTGTATTGATATGTAGAATTCAGCGAAGTTCTAATTATCTTACAAATGCAACCAACAAATAAGTGAACATTCACATACGAGTCATGTTTTTTTTACGCGTGAATACGCAAAAGTATCGTACTTGAGTGCCTGCTAGAATAAGGTTTTGACATGTTTCACTTCAAAACGTAAATAGTTGTGCTTTCATACAAGTGTTTGTGACATATACTATTGTCCTGCATGTATACGCAGCAATTGAGAGTATTTAAAATAACTTGAATGTTTGTATATTATGTACTACAATTGAAATAATATTTTAAAAGTAAACACAAGTTTTTTAAGTTTTTGCGTTTGTCAAGACAGAATACAGTTAACTATGAAAGTTGAACATATTATTTAAATCATTTGTTAGGTAAAAAAAACCTAAAGTTGTTGTTACCATTGATTTGAATAGTTAAGAAAGATGAAATGACTTATTTCACTATAAATAATTAATTAGATCACAATAACTTTATTATTAACTATGTATGAAATAATTATGCATTGATAATCGAGCCAGTGCTCTTTACAGATTTATACAATGTTATACAAATCAGACAAGATCTATGTATGATACTGATAATATTTGTTTATGGTGTATTGCTATTGTAAAATTCTCTAATGAATAAATTATATCTGTAAAAAGAAATATTGAAAGATTTTCATTATCGTTTACAATCGATTATAATTTTTAATATCTATAAACATCTTTTGAATGCATTTTCTATTTTTCAAGCTACTTGTTCTAATTGATATCTTTTTATTTATTCCCTTTTCTGAACGAAAGAATTATATGGCGATAAATAATCAAATAAAATAAGACTTGTTTCTCTTTTCATTCCACATTGAAAAGCTGTTTTTATCATAGATATCACTCATTACTATTCATTTTTTCAAATCTTTACCAACTACGGTAGTGGTCAGTTGAATTGAATTTTCCTCGTTGCCTTAAAACAAAGAATGGAAATTCAATTGGCTCCCACTGCATTAATTTTTGAAAACAATCACAGATGGAGGTCAGGTTTGTAATCAACAACAATAATGGTTGCAGAAAAACAATTATAAATAAATTGTATCTCTCTTTAATCACGTATAAACACAGTTGTTGTACTATTTTCATTGCTAGTTTTTACTTTTACATTGAAAATTTTACCTCAATCATGAGTAATTCAATTCAGCAACTTGAATTAAATGCTGCTAATGCTGTTTCAACGGGTCAATTCAATGAAGCGATCGAGGTAATAGTTTTTCATTCTTTCTTTTAATTATCTTGTTTCATTTTCTTTGTTTTTTGTCTCAGATTTACTCAAGAATTATTCAATTGGCTACAAATACATTTAATGCATATGATACTTCATTAGTATTTGTAAGACGTGCTGGCTACTGTATTCTTGCTAAAAGATATGAAGGTAATACATCTCTATATTATCTTGATATATTACCGATTTTTCAGAATCACTAGTTGATAGTGAAATAGCAATTGGTCTTGATTCAAATAATATTTTGGCATATTCACAGAAAGCGTGAGTAATAAAAAAAATGATAAGAGAAAAGTTGTAAATCTTTTTTTTTAGTAGAGCTTTGCTTCACTTGAATAAGGTGAACGAGGCGAAAGCTGTTATTCAATTTGCAAAAGAATTACCAGGTAAAAGATGGAATTTACATACTATTCGATAAATATTGCTTTAGGTGATCATCAATTACTCGAAGAATTAGAAGATATAATAAACAATTCATGGTTGACATTGAGTAAGAAATACTTTTATTGAAAACATATTTTGCATGGAACTAGAGGAACATATATATCTTTCAATTTTTGATCAATATTTTCGATAATAATTAACTCTTTCGTGACGATGTGGCCCACTGGTGGGCCATACTATATTTTAAAGTTAACGGGTGACCGAGAATAAATGGCGGAACTTTGCATTTCATATTTTAGCCTCTAAATATGTTTTATTAAAAAAATATCATACATCAGAAGATGCAGCGTGAAAAGCTCTACAATCTTCATAGGAAAAGTTTATTTTAATTGTGTAATTTTTGTTTTCAAAAAAAAAGCAAAACTCTGTGTGACCAGTTTTCGAGGTTGCGAAACGATCATTTTTTTTCTACACGAACAAGACATTTCATTTTTGTTATTTCATCTTTTTATCACCTAATATGATTTCGTAAGACAAAACAAAATATTCCACAAGATGTAGCGTGAAACGCTCTACAGTCTACATCGCAAAGCTTACTTCAATTGTGCACTTTTTTGTTTTCAAAAGAAGCAAAATTCTATGCGATCAATTTTCGCAATCTCAAAAATTGGTCGCACAGATTTTTGCTTCTTTTGAAAAAAAAAAGTACACAAATGAAATAAGCTTTACTATGTAGATTGTAGAGCTTTTCACACTGCATCTTATGATATATTTTGTTTTCTAATAAAACATATTTAGAGATTAAAGTATGAGATGCGAAGTGCGACCATTTATTCTGAGTCACTCGTTACTTTCTATGGAAATTGAATCGTCGCGAAAGGGTCTATCTCTTTTTTTTTAAATTCGAAAAAAAGGATCTTTGTTAAACTGAGCTTTCCTCAACGTAACCAGTTCTGATATCTGTTTTATTTCGAGTGCTATCCAAGAGATGAGGTATGAATCCATAGATGGCGGAGCCTTTGAGGCTCAGAGACTTGAGCCTCACATGGTTTTCGCCAATTGAGGCTTACCCTCACCCAATTTTGAACTTGATACCCCACGATACTATATAGTTTTCACGTCTCTTATGCACTTGTGGTCGCCACTGTCCTGGCAGAGACAGACAGAAAATATACTTTTCTTTGATGTGTGCTGCTCGTAGTGACTATCTTGTTCTTGAATTGACATGATGGCAGTTGGATATGAGTTATGCTTTTATTTCACAAGAGAAAAGAATAGGTTGAGATAAGAATGTGCATTTAGATTTTAAATATTCAGAAGTGTTAGGTAGTGGTATATATCGTTCGTCCTACTACCTTTGTCATTCTCTTTCCTATGTGTATATGTTGTTCTCTTCTTGTTTCGCCTAGATTATTTTGTTTATTCTCTCCGTTGGACTTTTCCTTGTCTTTCTTTCACATATATGAGGTATTCCATCCCATGAATTTTTCCATTTTGTTATGCATCCAAAAACGAACAAAGAAAACTGTTCTTTGGTACTTTTTAATCATATTAATTTTTTATTCATTCTTCTGTTGATCTACTGAAGTTAATACAAGAGCTTTACTTGATGCTCTAATAAAATTTTAACTGTCGAATTTCGACGGATGAGAAGAATAAAACACAATGAACCTCACCTAGATTCAAGACGCTCTACCGTGTATGTATGAATTTGACTATGTAAATATCAAAGAAGAAAGTGCGAATCTGCATGTTTTATTGAACATCATGGGATCTGCTCAAGGAATTATTATTTTAAGGAAGCAGTACCAATAAGGGCATTGCTTTGTTCAAAATATTTAATAAAAAAGGGTTATATCCTGAATGAACATAAAAATGTGAGCTAAATGAGCCACGTTTTTCTGTTGTACAACGACTTTCTTTTGTCACCTGCCGTTTTACACCTGTAGGACATGAGAATTATAGTATCGAAAATTGTTCTTTGCTAATTCTTTTGATTTAAACGTCATCAGATGCAGTAATTGATGCTGATTTGGAGTATGACGTTACAATTCGACGAAAATGAAATTTTGATCGAGATAAATCTATTGTCTTAAACAACTCTAATAGAAGACCATTTTTGGTTTTCGTCGCCAGTTAGCTTGGCAACGTCATTGAGAAATTTAAAATGTAAAAGACGTGTATAACATTGAATTTCCCATCGATGTCACAAAAAAAAGGCGATTAAAAGTCTGATATTTGCTTTTTTCTTTGAATATTTGACCCTAAAGTTATCCAAAATACGGGTTTGAATGTTTTGTTTTGCATGACATTGATGGGAAGTTCAATGTTCTACATGTCTTTTACGGTTTAGATTTCCTAATAAGGTTGCCGGATTAGCCGACAATGAGGACTGAAAATGATCTTCTCTCAGAATAGTACAATAAAGTAAGTCTTTCTCGATCAAAATTTCATGATCGTCAAATTGTAACACCATATTTAGAATTATCATCAAACGCTACATTCGATAATGTATAATTTCTTGGAATTGAAAGAAAATTTTTCTATGATTTTAGGATTCCCAACAGGCGTAAAAAAACAGGTGAAAAGTGTAAGTCGTTTTTCCACAGAAACACTGTCAGGTTCTAGCCGGAATTTCATGATAAACAGAATTGTTTTGTTCTCTTCGGGAACTTTCAATCGAAATTGAAAACAATATGCCGATGTGTTCAATATGAAAAATGAAATTTCATATTGAGTAGAAACCATTTAGCCATCATTGAGAAAAATTCATGGTCTATTATTTTAATCAATGACTTTTTCCTGAAGTCAAATCGCTTACGTTTTCTTTCTCAGAAACGTGAAGAACAATTAATAATCATCTCAAGTTTACAAATAGACAATTGTTCAAAATGAGGTTCTATTTTTGATTAGATGTTAGTAATTGGAAAGTTTGGAAGTATCTATCTTCGTGGTACCAGGCAAAAACAGATAAAAAATATGAATAGATGGATATAATATTCGTACGTATTTTTTTACTTTGTGGAAATAACGGGTGCCCTATAATAAGTGTTTATTTTTGTATGCCGTATTCGAATCTCAAATACGTTTTATTAAAGGGCTCCTCAAAAAAGTCGCTTTTCGTCAAAATCACCGAAATCAAGATAAATGTAGGGCAAGATAGCCCATGATTTGATCTCTCATAAACGACAAAAATTTTTACTCGATGCCCCCTTTTTTTCCAAAAATTTTTGGAGATTTCTGACATCCCCTATTTGAAAAACAAGCTGTTTTTGAAAAAAACCAAAAATCTTTTTCGATTTTTCTCGTTTTATAGATTCTCGATCGCATCTTCAAGAATTCTCGGAGAAGCTTCATTATAGCCAATAGGCTTTTTTGTTTGAAAGAGCGTATAAAACTCCAGTGCCTATGAGAACCAGGTTTTTTTTTATAAAGCTCTGCTTTTATTATATATATAAATCTTTATATAATTAGAGCGCCACTTTTTTTAGAGTTTTTTGAGTCATTGAACTTTCGATCCTTTTTTCCCTTAAAAAGTAAGAGTTTAAAAAAGGGCTCTCATAGGCACTGGAGTTTTATACGCTTTTTCAAACAAAAAAAAAATATCAAACGTGTAGACTGAAGACTACAGAGAAATTTTGGAGACGAAATTAGCCATTTTTTGATCCTAGTTTGGCCGATATCTCTGTCAAACGTCATGGTACAGGACTGAAAATTTTACCATAGCCACGGCTCATCCGTCGCAACATATCCTGAAAATTTAATACCATTCGGACGTTCCTGGACTGAGATCGATTTTTGAGGGGGCTCCCTACACAACAGAACAAACCGCTAGTTGTAGCGTGAAAAGCTCTACAATTTACCAAGTAAAGCTTATTTAAATTGCGTGCTTTTTGTTTTCAAAGACAGTAGACTTGGTATAGCTAATTTTTGATACTATGAAAAGTAGTCACAAAGAATTTCAGTTTTTTTCAAAAACAAAAAGTACACAATTAAAATAAGTTTTACTTGGTGGATTGCAGAACTTGGTATGCTAAATTTAGTGGTATATTCTGTGTTTTACTAAGGCGTATTTAGAAATTAAAATACGAGATACAAAAGTGGCTTATTTAATATGGGGTACTCGTTAGTTTTTTTTTCTGTAAACTATTTTTTAAACTGATTTATCTTATCATTTTTGCTTCCAGGAAATAAAACAATAAAATTCGTCTCGTCGTTATTAATTGGTATATTATCAAATGTAATTGGTGGTTTTACCGGTTGGAAACAAGGAATAGTTGCTGTATCTTTATGTCTTGGTTTACTTTTTATACATCTTCGTCGATTATATCAATTTTTTATTCATATATTACACGTATTTCTACATGCTGGTCGTCAATTTTTATATCGAATCTGGCTTCGTCTTCGTGCAATTCGGTTTAGTACTTCATCATCAATTTTATCTGCTGAAGTTGGAATAGCATATGATGCTGATGCACAATCAATCTCAACTCGATTTTGAAAAGAAATGTTGATGAATTCAAATTGATACATGTTTTATTCATTTTTGTTATTCTCAGGTGAAAAATTCCATTTCGTTATTAGTTATTTTTTTCTTTGATGATATACATATACTTCAATAAATTGAAGATCAGCGAAAAGCTTTGTTTCTTCGAAAACTATGACAGAAAAGAGTTTATCAAATGAAATTCAAATTCTCTTTCATAACGAGAGAAATTTTTTAGCTGATTTGTTGTTGATCCAATAGACTGATTTTTTCATTATTGATTCTTTTCTAAATTGAAAATTTTAGCTCAGGTTCAATATAGGATTTGAGTGTGATTGTGGGTGGACTCGTCTGTTCGTGCATTTTCATATTCATTATAATTAATTCACACCGAACACCCACAGATCCCAGCCACACTCACACTAACACACCCTTATAAAATAAAACTAAAAATATCTCTTTGACTGCACAATTTTAATTATTATTCTTAGAACTTTTGATTAGCCGATAGCATATTTATATGAATGAATTAATTGGAACTTTTTGGTACGACTGAGATTGTGACTGTGTTTGAATAATAACTTTTGTTTCTCTTGACCGATTTGAACAATTGTTTTATAATTTATTCCTCTCTGGGTTTTCCACCCATATCCACATCAAAAATTATCTCTCGAGCTCATACCATCGCTAACGTATGAGGTTCACACAACTTGAAAAAATCGTATTTTATAGAGATTTTCTTTCAAGAAAAACGAAATTTCCTATAGATACTAAAAGAAAGAAAAAGAAGATAATGAACAGCTCATTTTGTTGAGCTTGAAGTTTTGTGTCGAATCATAAATAGGTATCGTTTCTCCGTCTCTCTTTTCATATCCATTTGTCTGAAATAGTACATTGCAGACATTTTGTTTATTTTCATGTACAAAGACTATAATGTTTCTCTTTTCTTCATCTGTCGACAAGTCGAAGAAAAGCTGAGGTTTTCAAAAGAGAAACCGTTATGTAGAAAATGAAATTGACAAGAAATTTGTTCTGGTTCACTTTCATCTCCGATGATAAAAAGTGATATTTTTCTTAAAATTTGAGTATCACACATCTTGTAGAATCAGTTTTCGCAAACTTTGTCCCAAAGACTTTTTGAAGAATTCATCCGTTTTTGCTCAATTTCTTAACGCGGATACGCATATCAGTATAGCTAAAACTTCGGTTGTCTATCCCTCATCGTGTTCGAGAAATTAATATTATATGATGAAATGTCAACGATCCTCTCCATGTAACATTTCAAGTGAACGTCGATCAAAATAGATATTATTTTATACCATGGAATTTGTTTTATTGAGAAGGAATATTCTCTTTTTATTCTGAACATAGATTCTGTATCAAAAAAATATAATTTTACTAGATAGAGCTGGTGGAAGGGAAGAACTACGGAACTTAGCTGACATATTTTATGTGGTGTCTAAAGCAATAATGAGTCAAGATGGATTGTATTTTGTTTGTCATTGGTCTGTTACGTTTTGGACAGTTATTCAGCATTCATTACAAACGCCTATTCTTGATTAAGAAGCAGTTTTATCACATTTCATTTCAGTCAGATATACGTGGCTAGTTCTGGATGAGTATGGAGTACATATATAGATATGTGTTCATGTAGAAAGGATGTATATCTCAATTTTAACTTAAACCTTACATTCATTGTTTTTTTACGAAAATGTATGTAAGTTCCACAAAAAACTTCATAAAATGAATATGGAATTATCTAAAGTAAATCACATTTATGCAAGTTTTTCTATGACTGAGAACGAAACTATTTGGTTTTTTCATAAAAAATTCTGCCATTTATTAGTCATTTCTTTATAATAGTAATACGTTGTCGCATACAATTCACTGCATTTCTTAAGCTATTTTTCCACTGAAGATGAACATGCTGATGACAACTATGCAAAAACAATTTCTTCAAAAGAGAAGTTAGTAAAACTTGACCTAATGAAAATAAACAATGATTTTTAATTATTGGACGATGTCATATCTCTGATTCTATGGGGAACCTAACGGTAAAAAAAATTTCCTGTTGTTCATATTCGCATTTAAGTTATGATACAATAGAAGATTTATACATTGACCAAGAAGAATACTTGATTGCCGTTCAAAATCCTTTAATGTTGTTATTCGATGCTCTAGAAAACACAAAAAAATCTATTTATTTTTATTTACTAATATATTACACATTACACATTACACATTTCATATATATTGAAACAAAGATATTTGTAAAACTGACATAATTTATTTCTTTTATCATAATATCAAATCTGAACTTGAAAAATTCATTTGAAGTTGTTTTTACATGAAATCTAAAATATTTTGTTCGATTTCCTTGATCAACAATTGTAACATTTTTTTTTTTGATTTTCTCTTCCAGATTTGAACAATATCATAGATGAGATGATTCGCTTAGATAATAATCTATCATTGATATTTGATCATAGATAGCTCAAATTAAAATAAACCATTCATTATAACAACATAATTCTACACCTTTATAAGATGCTAAATATTATTCAGATGATGTCATTCGATTATTAGAGACGTCAAAAAGCAACATTTGTGAAGATATTTATATAATAATCTTTGAATTTTTGTTATTTGAGTTGTTTCATACAAATTCTAACTGATTTTATTATATTTGTTATCAAACAAGAGAAATAAATTTAGAAAATTTCAAGTAGAGAATCACGAAACAAAACGCGAATCCCGTATATTTTGCATTCATTATAGTTATAATACGAAACAAAATTTACTTTCATTTTTTTTTTGGTTTGGAAAAAATATCTTCAAAACAATGTGATCATATCAGTTCTCATTCGAAAAGTTTCTTTTATATTAATTTACTTTGTATGTATTTATGAAAAAAAAAGAATTTTCAATTATACCTGTATTAGTCTGAGGATAACTGTTCAATAAATTTCAATTCTTGTTTTTGATCATTTGATAATAGTTTTGGATAAATTTTCCTAATCAAATCAACAATCATCAGTTAATTTAAATCTTGAATTTATTAATGATTGAAGAGTATCATGTGAAAAATCAAGTTCTTGTACGACTTAATCATACTATTTTGTTCTTCCTCATCGTTTTTATTATGAAATAGTAAATCAAATGTACTATGTCGATATTGTTGTTGTTCTTGATGATGTTTTAGGGATGATTGTCACATTCAAACTTCATTTTCTGTTGTTACATTTGTATTATGATAATTATTTTTCTTTCGATTTATACTATGATTAAGAACTTGATGAATATTTTCATCATCATCCTCAGTCGATCTTGCATCATATAATAATTGTTGATATTCATTTGATAATAAAGGTGGAAAAAAATGTTGAACATGAAAACGAACTTGATTTGTCGCTGTTGCTGAATGAAGAATATGAATAACATGTTTATGGTTAATACCTATAGCTATTTCATCATTTATTGATAAAATTTGGTCATCAACCTACATATAAAAATTATATAAAACTATTTTCCAAAATTAATGTCCTTGTACTACTGCAGAATAGGAGCATTCTCACTGTTTTTTACATAGAGAACAGAAAAAAAATTCATTGATGCAATACATAATCAATACATTGTGACAATGAAGGGGTTTCTCTTCTGCAATAGTACCCATACGAACTGAGTTTCACGCAGATGAGAGTACTGCACTACAGCCATGGTGTGACAATAGTTCAATTAATTTTGTCGAAAACAATTATAAATGAAAGACGTTGTTAAATCAATTCTCTTGCTATTAGTGTACCTTCTTGGTTTTAGTTTGTCAGAACAATTTAACATGACAAAATAATCTGTGTCATTGCTATACTTCATATGGTCAAATTATCATCTTGCAAAAATGACTTTTATGTCAAATGCATGAGTAGATTTCGAATTCAACATTGATTGGCATTTCTTTCATTGCTTATTATCACTAGATCCAGTATTGAAAATAGGACTATGTGATTATACAGACTAACCCATAGATAACTAGGCAACAAAAAAAATATCGTGTCTCCAGTCTGTTTTAATCAATTAGACTGATTCTTTTCTTCCTCGGTAAAGAGCTGCGAGTTCTTCTGAGCCCAGATGTGGCCGAGTCGATAGTGTCTAAAGTTTTATTTTTTGTTGGATCCGTAGATATCTACATGGAAAAGTGAATAACAAAAAAATAACTGTATGTTGACTTTTTTCTGAGGAGTAGTCAACAAGTAATTAAACCCTTGATAGACATAGAATGCCAGATATTGGTGAAAAAAAACCTAGGATCTGGATCTGTCGGATCCAAATCCACTGATCTC